TTATGACATGTGACGACTTGGTCTATTAATTTGTATCATTTATGATCCTTGTTTATAAAAACTCAATAAAAAGTTATGTTTAAAGAAGAAGAAGGTAGGATTCAGGCAGGGGTGGATGACGATTTGGAGATCTTGAGTGCGCTTTTGCTTTTCACTCCTTCAGAAAGTGGTGGACTCTTCTTCCTTGGAGGTTGTTCAGCAAAGGTTGGATGGCCATGTGTGATAGATACTTTAGTTGAGATTCCTGCATTGCAAGGGGTTGGACTAGATGTCCCTCAGGAACCCCTTCCAACTCTGCAATTCTATGATTGTCTGATTCTATCACTCCTAATGGGGCTGCCAGTTTCCACCCTGCACAGCTGTTGCAAAGTCAAGCAATTGTTCCTGCAGCTGCCATGTATGGTTACAAAATTCAGACCAACCAAAGTAATAAATAGTGAGAGCTTTTTGGCAGCAGAAGACCTAGAAGTTGACAGGATTCTGCATGAATTGGTAGGCAGCTGCATCAGCTAGATAGGAGACAAAGCAGCCCTGTGTGCTGTACGCAAAGCATGTCTGGCTGTTGTTAGGAAGCCGACTGTCAGGAGAGAGAGCAGGATTCATGCTCGTGCCAGTCTTTCTCCCATGCAGGTGAGTGGAAATAAGGAGAGCTGAATTTTCATGGAAACAGTCCGTCCCAGACATCAGGATATTCTTCATTTTGGATAATCTGCCTGTTGCTCAGTTGTGACAATTGAACAACACAAACATTTATAAAGTGCCTGGAGCTGTTCAAACAGACTGTTAGTGTGCCTATAATTGATGCTTATTTAAATTATTAGCGATTGGGACCTAACCCAAAAAAATCCAAAAATTCTGTTCCTCACTTGCAAGACTAAGCATATGTTAAGAAAGAGATTTGATGACTGGTTTCTTTTAGAACATAGTATCATTTCTAAGCTGAAATTATTTATTTTCTTTATAAAACTTGCTCTTTGAAATGTATGTTTCTCCCTGTTACCCATATCTTTGATTTGGAGAAAGGCAATGCTTTTTTTCTAAAAAAAATGTTTAGGGGTACTTTCATTTTGACTCAAGAAAATCACCATTTTATAGTTCAAGTCAGGGGGAAAAAAACAGTAAATGGACAGAAGTACAAAGATTCACAAAATGTTTAGGGGTATGCATACCCCTGCATCCCCCCAGAAAAAAAAGCACTGGAGAAAGGACTGTAAAAATCACCATGTCAGAAATTGCCACAAGGGCAAGGGTGGTACAAACCCCCAGAAATTTGTTTACAACCCCCAGCCTGCATGAATGCGTGTTGACTGGTGGGAGAATGTGGAATGAAAGTTTTTGGCCTCTGTATGGAGTTGTTGGCATCCATGTTGTCCTGGGAGACAATGGAGGAGAGTCCTGATAATGGTGGCCTGAAGACCCCTCTTCACTACCCCAGGAGAGAGCTGGGGTGGTGGGTTCCCTGGATGTTTGAAGTTGAGTCTTGGATCCAAACTATGAGAGAGAGATGCATCTGGAGCATGTGGAAGTTTTGCATACTACTTTTTATTTCTGTGTTGGGCATTATTCTCTCTCCCCGGTTTAGTTTCAAGCTGTCAGAATAGGTTGGTTTGTTCATATTGTTTCAAACAAACTTGTACAGATTTTTTTTTGGTATTTATTTAGTGATGGTATTATTTCTCGTGTGTGTTTGTTATATATTTACCGTAATTATTCACTTGATACGTTGTGAGCCACTTGGGGCACAATTTTGTGAGAAAGTGTCAATAGATGAGGCTGATCATGAAAATCTTGCAGTACGGAAGCCTCTGTTCACATTTCAGCTACCCCATTTCACCCCCACCCCCAGTTTTCTGCCCACTCCAACAGTCAGCCAAGATTCTCAATGGACTGTTATGAGGGCCTCCCACTTTATGGATTTCCACCCCCAAAATATTTTTGCACTTCTGTAAGCTTCAAGATTCCTCCAAGTCTCCTTCCCTCTTGCGTACTGGGATGTGGGGTGTCTTTTGGACTACATAGCAAGATAATATCTGCTTACGTGAACTCCAGCCCTAGTGGAACATGAAGTTACTGATTTCCAAATGGTGCCACTTGCTAAAAGCCTTTATTGTTGCTCAGTGGCTACTGGGGAACGTGGATAAATCAAGTGGATTATGTGTACATGATGCTGGACTTTGAGACTGGCTGCCAGCAGAGAGATACGTATTGCGGGTTCCTCCTCATAATAGTTCAGATGAACTGCTGTTCTCTGATTAATAATGTAAATATTGCAAAACTCCAATAAGTCTCCAGTGGCTGCTTTCCAAGAGAAACTAAATCTGATCATGCATTGCCTTCCTGGAACTTCTCATTGCTCTGGGAAGTGGAGTGAGGGTAGCACGATAGATTCTAAGCATTGTTATACACTCCTCACTTTCCCTGAGTGGTGGTAAGTCCCAGGAATAGCATATCTGAGTCATTTCCTTTGGCTGAGAATGTACCAGAGATTCGTGGTGCCTTGGTAATATCTCTTTGTTTACAAATAAGCAAGCAGAGATATTGCTAGCAAGCAGACAACACAAGTGCTAACCTCACACAACCTCCCAATGAAGCTACAGCTGTACCTCTGCTTCAGCCAACTGCAGCTAGGAATATACTAAGCTGCCGTATATCAGGGTCAGTTTAGCTACTTAGCCTAGTACTGTCAATTCTGACTAGCAGTGATTCTCCAGCTCTCAAACAGAGAGGGCTTTCTCATCACCTGTTATGGGGCCTTCAAAATGATAGGATGTGTTTCTGCCACTGAACAATAGTCACTTGCCAGAGTTTCATCTTTCTGTCTCTGTGGCAATTCTGATGCTTCTACTCCAGATGTCCTCCAGCTGCCTGCCAAGGCCCCACAACGCAGTTGCTCCCTATGTAATGAGCAACCATACAAGACAGCAGCATATACCGGTAGATTTTGAATTCAAATAGGCCACAACTTTATTGGTTACAGATGTGAAAGGTTTGGCATTGGGTGAAGCCATTTTTTTAAATCCAGCCCATCTGCTGTGAGTGTACCTAAGGGTAAATCACAACATGAGGGAGGCCCTATGACCTACACACGCCAGTGTGGTGTAGTGGTTAAGAGCGGTAGTCTCGTAATCTGGGGAACCGGGTTCGCGTCTCCGCTCCTCCACATGCAGCTGCTGGGTGACCTTGGGCCAGTCACACTTCTCTGAAGTCTCTCAGCCTCACTCACCTCACAGAGTGTTTGTTGTGGGGGAGGAAGGGAAAGGAGATTGTTAGCCGCTTTGAGACTCCTGAAGGGGAGTGAAAGGCGGGATATCAAATCCAAACTCCTCCTCCTCCTCCCTCCTCCTCCTCCTCCTCCTCCTCCTCCTCCTCTTCTTCTTCTTCATCAAATAGGGGTACCCCAGGGGGCTCCTCTATGGAGGAGTTCTATGGCCCTAGCCCCTATCTGGGCATCAGGCACAAGCAACTCTTCATGGATCCCCTTAACAGAATACCATTAACCAAGGAGGGGTAGGCAGAGGCTACAACATCACCTCCAGACCAGACTAAGGCTTACCCAGTGCCTAACCTCACAAAGTTGTGACAATTACTATGAGGTAGGTGAAAACCAGCCGGCCAATGCCAATTGGCCAGGTGGAAAAATTCCTGCCCAGCCCTGAATAATGGCAACTGATATGGGAGATCCTATGAAAAGATTGTGGAGGAATGCTGGCCTGGCCACAATTTATTCCCTATGGGGTGGGCCCAAGCGATGCCCATTGGCTGGTTTGACCCTCCGCCTGAAGAATCCCCAGACCCAGGCTTGTCTACCATTGGCCAATCTGCAGGCCGGCCTGCAGTCCTCCCCAGCTGGCCACCAGATCACTGATGTTAAAGGAAAACAGAATGTCCTAATTACTGCATATTCATTTGTGCTCATGATTGGGGTGGTCATGGGAGATTCCTTTGCAAATACTACTTTCCCTGAATAAGTTTTGAGGTAGTCATACTGCTTCTAAACAGCACGTAAGGTGCTGCTAAAATCCTGTAACTTTTCATGCCACAAATGCTCTGGGTTTTTTTATTGTCCTGCTTTTGTTGTGTTAGACTCCCTCTAGACAGTAATAATGTAGAAGCATTGGAGAAGAATCAAAGAACGGTTAATAAAGCAAAATAAATTTACCACCAATGCACTATTACTATGTTTCAGAATACAGCTGCAATATAACAGCAGTCTGGAGAGGTCCTTTGTCAAGAGTTTTTTCAAACTCGTGTACAAGCAGAAGCACTTCTTTTCTTGTTTATGTTGATTTATCACAATGCATGAAACAGCCCTTCTGTGAGTGGAAGGTGCTTTCTGCATGCAAAAGGGTATCTTTGGGGCCAACCCACAACCAATGTGATATTTTCTCTCTATAAAATGAGAACAATAACCTGCACCACAAGATTGTGGTGAGGGCCTGAATGATAACTGAGGATGATCTAGCAAAAGTTAAGCACCTTCCAGTCCCACTGAGAATGAAGATTTTGCTTAAATCATTCCCATGGACAACCAGATGGCTTCAGAGTGTTTAACTCTAGCTGAATCATGCCCAGAATTTGTAAAGCACTTTTCAGATCAAAAGTGCTATAGAAAACCAAGGACTAACTAACTAACTAACTAACTAGAGAAATGTTCAAATGCTATTTGTGTGTGCTAATTTTGGTTGGAGGTTGGAAGTGCTCATATTGATGGTAAAGACAAGGCTTTTAACTACGGACCTGCTTTTCCTTTCTGGCAGCAGTGTGGAATAGAAAGGATTTGGTAAGAATTTTGCTCTTGTCCTTCTTCCACATCTTGTTTCCCAACCTTTTCCTCTGTTCCATTGTCTGAACCTGACAATCCTTGGTTTCTTCTGTATTGTCTGTTCTTAAAAAAATGAAATAAAAATAAAGAAAAAACCATGGCAGGGGAATCTGATCTTCTTAGCTTGTGCTGATGCTTCTTTGCTCCTGAATAAATATTCCCTTTTGTGTCCTTGCAGGTGGATGAAAAGAGAACGGTGGAGAGGAGGTGGTCAGAGGGTGACAAACATTCAGAGAATGTGCTTGTCAGAAAGGTGAGAGCAGTCTTTAATGACAATTTCCGTGAACAGGGAGCAGGGCTGACTGGCTTAATTCACTAACCATCAGTGGCTGCATTTGAGAACAGAAAATTCCAATTCACAAGTCAATTCTGACTAAATGCACAAGAAGATTCTGACTAAACCTAAGGAAGGACTTTCTGACAGTAAGAGCGGTTTGACAGTGGAACAGGCTACCTTGGGAGGCGGTGGACTTGCCTTTATTGATGGTTTGCTTTTTAAAAAACATTTTGAGGTTTGCCTCAGGTGCCAAAATGTCCTGGGCCGGCCCTGACAGTGGCTAGCTGCAACATGCACAGCTGAACTACTTAAATGAGCCAGTTGGCTTTGTGCCCTGATTTGCCACGGAGAGCATCCTAGTGCTCATGCGTTGGCTGCAGTGTTACCACCAGTACTGCATGGTCAGTGACAGCAGTGAGGAAATTCTGCTTAAGGTCTTTAGAAAGAATTCTTCCCCATCAGCGAATAAGGCAATTTTGCTTGCCACTATGTTTATCTCACCCTGAGGTGACTTGTGGGCACAAGACACGTGACCTCATTGTAAACAGAGATGTGTCAGTTACAGGTAGGTAGCCGTGCTGGTCTGCTGTAGTCGAAACAAAATAAAATAATTCCGTCCAGTAGCACCTTAGAGACCAACTATGTTTGTTATTGGTATGAGCTTTTGTGTGCATGCACACTTCTTCAGACGCTAAAGGGGATAAAAGCAATCACCTGATGTACTGTTAATCAATGGTTTGGTCCAGGCAATCCGTTTCCAGTATGGTGCAATGCTAAGTAATGCCGTTTTGTGGAATGCCATCACAGTACTGTTCAGCACACAGGCCACCAGAGGGTGCCACAGCACAGCTTTAGCCATCCTCACCTGAATATCACATTTTCAAACAGCAAAAGAATAGGAGGGGGAACTTGCTTGCCTAGTCCAGTGCTTTAATTTGACAAGGAGTCAAATTTGACAAGTCAAGGTGCGGGAGGGACCTGCCTTACTTGGAGTGCAAAACGAAGCCATGGTGCTTTGCTTGAGGTTGAAAAGGTTTGTGGCAGGAAAATGCTCAGGCTGGGCATGCAACGCCTGTTCTGTTCCTCCACCATCCTTGCACCACCATGCAAATTCTTTCACTGCTCCATCAAGCCGTATGACTAAGACCTGTCACACGCTATTCATTCTTGCAGCTGTAGTAAGCTCTTTGGGAAGGAGGGGTGTTGATCCAGAGGCTGCTAACTGCCGGCGTTAACAACAAAAAACACGTCACTCTCAGATTGCAAGGGCCTGACTCTTTTTTTGCAATAGATTTGGCCTTGCTCACTGTTCAGCGCAGACCCAGAAGGAAGCCTTGGCTCCCTTGAGCCGACGAATGCTCGTAATTAACGGAGCACAAATTGAATAAGCCTTCCTTTCCCGGTGAAGTGATTCATTAGCCTGAGCTCCAGCTGCAGCCCAGGGAGCACGGTGAGCTGATCTGATCTGTGTCACTCCCTTATGGCCCAAGAAGCGCAGCTGTGGCCAAGCTGAGCTGAGGCCCTGGTCAGCGTGGTAAACAGCTCCCTGCCCTTGCCCTGAGCTGGCTCCCAACAGTGAATATCTGCTGCTCACTTCCTTAATACAAAATGCAGTCATCCTTGGAAAAGCTGGGTTGCTCCTTACATTTCATGTTGCCCAGAAGATACGTGATTCAGCAGGCAAATCTGTAAACACGAGCTGCCTCCCCCACCCACTTCAAGACACACTTTCAGTTCGAGTTGGCTATATTCTACAAAGCAGTTCATCATCCCTTCTGATGGCAGTTCCACCCCTTGTTTAGACTGAGGGGGTGTCGATATTTGGGGATCTATCACTCTTTTTTGAGCTATTAAAAATAAACATATCCTGGCTAAATCCAGAGTCTCTCACTTGAGCTCATAAGTCAACAAACAGTGGACACCAGCTGTGATTCTTGCTGATCGATTTGCCAGGTTTGGAATATTCATTCCAATTCCCCTACACAGTAATCTCCTAGATGTCCTGGATACAACCCCCCCCCCCCGAATCATAGATTTCATTCACCTGCTATTCTAGTGATCCAACAGGGTCTCTGATATAGAACTATATCTCTTATTTCTCATTTCTCATCAAACTCCTGAGTCTGGCAGGTGAAGCGCAGGTATGGTTATGGGAAGCAATTTTGGGGAGGCCAGAAACGGAAGTGGCTGGAGGGTGTCCTGAGCCTCTGGGGTGCTTTTCTATTGCTCACAGTAGAGATCCTAACTTCTTGCTTCTCCACCCACATGTGGGATGGGCTTGTCCCTTTGGCGGAGAAGTAAAGTGTTGCTGTTCTTTCTCTCCTTTGCCCACCCACATAGGTGTGTCTCCTTGGCAACAGGTTCCTCAGCCTCTAATTTTCCTCAGTTCTATTTTGATCTGCAATGAAATGCCAAGGGTGTTAATTCTTGTTCAGGGTGTGTGCGTGCGTGTGGCCGTCTTTGAAGGGGAGAAATATGGAATATTGATTTATCCACAGACAATGAACGTCACAGGATGTGTATATTCAGCAATATACTCTGGGGCCTCCCTTCAGTTCAGAGAGCTGCTGGTTGGCTCCCACATCTGGTGGGCTACACTAAACTCTTGCTGTGTTGATGGCTTTCTTTCAAATTCATTCCTTCTTGTTCTGAGCAGCCACTTTTCGTTAAGGTCTTAAGCATTCAAGCAAGACCAGCATTCAGCTGCTACAACGCCGAATGGAACAATAAATCATGAGGCCTCAGGCAGCGCAAACAAACAAATTTCCTGCTCAAAGTACATTGTTCTGACTTGTATACTGGAGGCTCATTATGCAGCATGCTCTGAGCTCCCTGTCCTCCTGGGACCAACTATACAGGTACAAACATTTATACATAGTGCAGCACTATAGCACTTTTCCCCAACATAGTGCACGCCAGATATTTTGGACCACAATCCCCTTCATCATGGCAATGCTGGCTGGGGCTTATGGTAATTGTAGTGCAAAATACAGTGGTACCTCAGGTTACAGATGCTTCAGGTTACAGACTCCGCTAATCTAGAAATAGTACCTTGGGTTAAGAACTTTGCTTCAGGACGAGAACAGAAATTGTGTGGTGGTGGCACGGCTGCAGCAGGAGGCCCCATTAGCTAAAGTGGTACCTCAGGTTAAGAACAGTTTCAGGTTAAGAACAGACCTCCAGAATGAATTAGGTTCTTAACCCGAGGTACCACTGTATCTGGAGGGCACCAGGTTGACGAAGGCTGCTCTATAGTGTGGCATAGTGGCTAGTTCATGAGGTGTTAACTAGGAACGCCCAGTCTCAGCTGTCATCTCACTAGGCGGCCAGAGTTGGGCTACTCTCCCTCAATCTCACCATCCCATCTGCGGTATGAGATAAATAGTGGCCTGCCTAACCATAGGACTGTCCTTTTCTTTAGGTAGAGATGGCTGTCTCAGGCAGCTGATTTGGGTCATGAAAAGGCAGCCAGCTGTTTGTTACTTATTTTACATTATTGTATTTTTCCTGCAAGAGAGAAGGAGAGAGAGGTGTGGGGGTTTTTGCCTCAAGGTCCAAAAGAAGCTGTTCAGCCTCGGGTACCAGGCCCCTTGATTTGAGGAGGGCACCATTTACTGCTCCAGCTCAGGTAGTGAGCATCTGTTTTAACAAATCTTGCGAACAATGAGCTGTGCGAGCCATTTGTGTAACTGTGTGTGCCAAATGAGCAGTTAACCATTTGCATTTGCCACCTCAGGAGTGTGCGGTGTCAACTGTTCGTTGATCGGCATTAGGTGCCTGTGCAGAATTATCTGTTCTGACAAAGCATTTTGTTAGGTGTTGAATCCTGGAGTGCTTCTTGGAAGAGCATCAACACAAACGTGTGCATGGGTCGTTTGGAAACCCACACAGAGGAGATAGTTCCTTTTTTCTTTAGGGTCCCCAAACATGGGCACCTAGATGCCTCCATTGCAGAGCATCCTTTGACTTTCTGCAGCTCAGGAGGATATAGGAAATACAGAGCATTTAAGCTACCCAAGACTCTCAGATTACTCAAGCAGGGGATTTTGATTGGGGTGACATGCAACAATATATTCCTAGCCACAATCTCCAAATGATACAAGTTTCCAGGGGTTCCAGGTACTTAACCAGGGTTTGTGTTTCCTTTGGAATGAGGCACAGCAGAGACTGTGGTGTCTTTAGGTTATATGGCTTAATTACACATAATATACAACCTGAGCCTATGATGGAGGGGTTGACTCAGGCTTTGTCTTTCGAACTATCAAAGAGCTGAAGGAGGGGCCCCACCCATTTGCTGTCTGGCACAGAGCCCCTTTTCCTTTGTTCTCTTAATGGCCCATTTCCCAGGTAATTACCTCATGAGGAAGCTAACCTGTTCTATATTTTAACACTTGCTGATTTAAGGGATTAAAGGATTCTGGCACCCCCAAACTCATAACAATATAAAGAGGAAAGAGGACAGGCCAATACATTGTTTTTATTTTTGGTTGGCTATTTATAATTAGTGTTTTATTCTTCCTTTTATAATGATCCGCTGTGCTGTTTTTTTTACTTTGTTGCATTTTAGTTATTTGATTGTTTTAGGGTTTGTTTGTTTTTAGTTTTGTAAATCACTGTAATATCTCCATGAATTGTGGTATATAAATACTATAAATAAATAAATAAATAAATAAATAAATAAATAAATAAATAAATAAATAAATAATAAGCTAAGTAGTATTTTTTACTTGTTTTTTAAAGCATAATTATACTGCCTTTTGACTATACATTCTTTGAGGTGGTAGGACACAGGTGGTGCTGTGGTCTAAACCCCTGAGCCTTTGGGGCTTGCTGATTGGAAGGTCAGCAGTTCGAATCTGCGCAACGGAGTGAGCTCCCATTGCTCTGTCCCAGCTTCTGCCAAACTAGCAGTTCGAAAGCACACCAGTGCAAGGAGATAAATAGGTGATTGGACTTAATCCAGAGGTCATTTACCTTTACCTTTGAGATCGCTTAAAATATTAATAACCAATAGGCTCAGATTGCAATCCAATCCAATTAAAACAGCACAGAGTGGGATATGTAAGCAAAACAGCAAAAATAGCAGCAGATAAAAATAGCTTCCCAAACTGGAGCAGGAGCTGAGAAATGGAACCGCAAGAGAATAGCAGCTCAGCCATTCAATACGTAGGTGTAAAAAAACTGCCTTCATTTAGTTCCTAAAAGCCAATGATGACTTAGCACCTTATGATTCGGGGAGGGGGGGGGCTTCTGTAAATTGGACACCACTACAGAGATGACTTTCTTCCCTGTCAGCACCTACCTTATTTCTGAAGGTGAGGGCGCCTGGAGCAGGACTTCCGAAAAAGACAGCTTCACAGGGTCAAGCAGCACAAAAAACCCCAACGATCTTTATAAAAGCCCCTCCAGACATCGTTTTCATTCTGCGTTCATGATTATGGTGCTATTGGAAGTGGCCATCGCAATCCAGCTTTCAATGCTAGTTGCACCTGCAAACATTTCAGGGTGGCCAGACTGCTTCGTTTCTAATTGGTGTATATCCTGTAGCCTGAAATCCCATAACTTTTCACATCACAAATGTTCTGGGTTGTTGTTTTTTATTGTCCTTCTTTTTGTTGCACTTGAGCCCCTCTGGGCAGCAATAATGTGGTGACACTAGGAAAGCAGTCCAGAGCAACTAATAAAGCAGAATAAATCCACCACTAAGGCAATTCTTATTATGTCAAGAACATGCTGCGGAATATGCCCACAATAAAACACTTTGCTTGCGACACCACTTTTGAGAGCTGATCAAACTAGGCCCAAATAGTACCGCACCGTATTTTTCGCTCTATAAGACGCACCAGACCATAAGACGCACCTAGTTTTTGGAGGAGGAAAACAAGAAGAAAAAAAAATCTGAATCCCAGACGCCAGAACAGCAAGAGGGATCGCTGCGCAGCCTGCATTCACTCCATAAGACGCACACACATTTCCCCTTACTTTTTAGGAGGGGAAAAGTGCGTCTTATAGAGCAAAAAATACGGTAGCTTCCTGATTGGCAAGCATGATGGTGAAGTGAAACTTGTGCAAGCCTAGAGACACCTACCTCCTCCTTTGCATTACTTCCCCTTTCACTACCCTTTCTGAAGCCAGGATAGCTGCATCCAAGTGCTGAAGGAGCCAAGTTGTCATTGAGAAGCCCTTCAAGCAGCCACTCATATACAAATTGGATTGGCCATAACGCAAGAAGGTGAGATGGTCAGCCAAAGGACCAGCAGATTGAAACAGCCTGAGAGATTCATAATTGCTGTGGTGATCATCAGCTTGAACTCTGGACGCCCAGGAAGTCCTTCCACATTAATCACATATTGTTTTGTTTCAATTAGGAGAGAGGAAAATCTCCCCAGAAGAGCCCAGGGGATAAGGGCTCTACCCTGACCGGGAGAGAGCGGTCGGAATACATGCGGTGGAAGAAGGAACGGGAACAGATTGACCTGGAGCGACTGGCACGCCACAAGAACGCAAGGGGGGAATGGCGGCGGGCTTGGGACACAGAAAAATCAGAGCACATGTAAGTTGTCTCCCAGTCAACACACACTCTCCATGCTTGTAGGCCAGGCATGGCCAAACTTGGCCCTCCAGCTGTTTGGGGACTACAATTCCCACCATCCCTGACCACTGGTCCTGTTAGCTAGGGATGATAGGAGTTGTAGTCCCAAAACAGCTGGAGGGCCAAGTTTGGCCATGCCTGCTGTAGGTCATCTTTTACCAACCCAGTGCCCTCCAAATGTTTTGGACCAGGGCTTTTTCAGCCATAACTCACCGGAGCTCAATTCTGGCACCTCTCAGGTGGGTGCCATTGCCATTCAAAGAGAACAAGGGAAGTGGTCATGGTGAGTTCCGACATCTATCTTAAAAAAAAAACCAGAACTGTTTTAGATTACAACCCCCATCAGCCTCCCTGTGCTTGCACTTGATGGGGCTGGTGGGAATTGCAGTCCAAAACATCTAGAGGGTACCAGGCTGGCCAAGGCAGATTGTAGCCTGCAAAGAGGTCAGTGATAGGAAAAATATCCTGGAGGGAGCTAGAAAGCTGATGGGAAGTAATATGCTTCATGCTACTCTTGGGGCTTTGTAGGCTTTATGTGGCTTGTGATTGCTAGAGAAAGAGGGTAGTATATCAATGTCTCTGCCTAAATAGATGGCTCAGAGTCAACTACCCACAGAGGATCCATTAAAAGATGGACTCTCCTTCCTTGGAGGATTTTAACCAGAGGTTGGATGGCTATATGTCATGGATGCGTTAGTTGGGATTCCTGCATTGCCGGGGTTGGACTAGATGACCATTGGGGTCCCTTTTAATGCAAAAATTCTATAATTCTATGAACATCAGGGCATGTGCAAGTTAAGGAGAAAAAGGCAACTCATGTTGATAAGAAAAGGGCCCCTTGTAAAGGAGGACATCACAATTTATTTAACTGAACACAATTTGTTTAACTAAAAGCCAGTCTAATTTATTAGTGAATGCCCTCCATACAGTCCACAGAGATTTCGAAGGGAGATACTGGTTATTTTGTATTTTAAAACTGACCTAAAAACACAGAATTTGCAGCCAGCCACTTGGCAAAACTGTTTGGCAGCAGTTTTCAGGGCAGGCAAAAGAAAGGACTGTTTCATAACAAGGGGTAGGTTTACACAGTCATTTGTTAATGTGTTAAATTTAACATGAGCAGCCTTTTGGGAAGATTCTTCTCTGCCCCAGCTTCATACATGAACTATTCTTCTTTCATTTTCAGGTTTGATGATACTAAAGATGGAGAGCCAGCTTTGGATTGTGTCCACAACAAGAAAGGTGAGCAAAGGACTGGACATGTATTTACCGGCAACTGCTTTTCTGACTGCTTTTAACTGTTCTAGAATTGCTTTCCTTTTCCTTTTTTGTGCTTAAATTGTGGATCTGTTTGCCCCCGCTCCCCAGACTCCTTCACGAGGAAGGACAGAATAGACATTCAATAAGTGAAGAAATAAGTTGATGTCAGGTTCAAAAAAATGCAACTCTTGGATATCTTGTTTGCTTTGTCTCAGATATCCAGGCCTCTCCTAATGTGGCTCCAAGTCTCAAGGCTACTTCTTTCATACCTTTTTAAAGTCATGCCTTTGTCAGAAGATGCTGGGCCCTTGTCACTCCCATCCCAGTTTTTCATGTCTTCATTTTGAGGTGTGACCCACAGTAGTAGTTTTATGTCATTGAAGTGGATGGTGGAAGACACCCCTAAACCTGCTGTGCAAACTTTCAAGAGCAATTGCCAAGCCAATCCTGTTTCTGTGTGGCTCTCTAGGTGGGGGGAAGAGCAATGTTAAGCAGTGTGTCCAGTGTTTTGGAACAGGGGTTGGGGAATCATGGGCAACTCTCAAAGATTCTTGCACAGCGTTCTTTCTTTACTCGTGTGAGTTCTTTATTTCCGTACCGGTTGGGGATATGAGACAGTTCCAGTGCAAATAAAACAATAATTTTTGTTCTGCACCATAAAGGAAAAGTCAGAGCACAGCTTGCTTCTTAGGGCTCTCATGTGTGCTGCATGGTATTCTCTTGAGAACTCCCCAGAACTCCATCCCTGAACTCTGCATTCACCAGAAGGGACACTCCAATTGCCTATATTGACTAGGTCAAAATCCACTGTCTGCCTGAACCATAGACTCTGACTACTGTGAAATTGGAAAGTTTCTATCTTGGGGGAGGGGGTTAGAAAAGAGACTGAAGACAATGTGCAATGCCTCTAAGTGAGGCAGATAGAAATCAAATTCCATGTTCCGATTCACAAAATAAAAAGATATTTGTAAGCAACTTTCCAATAAATATTGAATATTTCAACTGGCACATAGATTTCTAAAAAAATGTTCACTTTTTTTGCTCACCACTGTTATACTAGCTGCTTTCTCGGTTCCCTTTTCATTAATGTACAGATTTTTATATTAGCTGATGAATCACCTGATCCTCCCTTTCCTAGATGTGCAAACTGTTTTTACATCAAATTAGGCAATCTGTGCTCTGTTGCTGCTGCTGTTTCTGCTGCTGCTGGGGGATGGAATTTGTTGTTACATGATCCTGCTCTGTTACATGCTTTGTCCTTTCAAGGAGGAAGAAATGCGAGGAAGTCCCAGCACCGATCCTTGCCTTCTGAAGGAAAAAGTAAGTAAGTCTCAGGAACAGGGTTGAGTTCAGTTCAGCCGTAATGTAAATGCTGGCTTCCCCCCCCCCCCCATGTCAGAAGTATCACAAAAACTTTTCCTAGATAGGAAGTTTTTGCCCCCAAGACCATCTTGCCATCACTCCAGGCCCAGAGTTAATGTTGCATTTGTAGAGGCCCTGGATATCATACAACTTTCCCTGACATTCAGATGCTAATTGCGAATATTTCTGTGGGTTTGTGCTTCCTTCCATTGCTATACTTCTGCTGCTATTTCTTGCACCTTTCTGTGACATCACAGCTCGATGGGAATATTTGGGACACTGAAGTAAAGGAGAACTGAAATCCCCCTCCCCCAAAAGCAAGATTCATCGACCCTATACTGTCTCTTTCCTTGCAAAGAGGGCACACTGCTGGCTAACAGCCAAGGACAAAGCAGACGAGAAGCAGAGCAGAAATGCTGTATGCTAGGAAGCAGGCTGGGAATGGTTCCATATAGGACAATCAGAGTGGGCACGTTGCAGGGGTTATAGTTTCCAGACATGTGAACCAAAGCTTTGCAACCAGGGAGCATTCTGGGAATAGTTGAAGAAGAGGACTGCACCAGGAAGTTCCATGGACTTTGTGGCTGAATAGCATACAGAGATGGCACAAGGGATGGGGGAAGAGTGGTATTTGGATAACCAAAGAAGCAAGCAAGGACATAACTGAACCAGGACAGGAAGGCTCACAAAAAACACTCCCACTGTTTGATTTTGGAAGTTTGCTTAGATATTTCTAGCCAGCCAGCCTGCCTCCCCTTCTCCCTGCTATGAAGAGCCAGGCAATCTCCCACCTATACACTGACCAGATCCAGACCAGCTTAACTTCAGCAAGCTTGCTGAGTGGCACACGCCTTCAGACCAAAATCCTGGAACCCCATAAAAGTGGACACTTTTATCTTTCTCAGTGCAATCCCCTCGTCCCTGGCTAACTGCATGGGTGACATCCAACTAAACAGGCCAGTGCAATGACGTTCAGCTGAACAACCTAACTTCTCAACCTTCTCCTCATCCCATGCTCCCCCCTCAATCTGCTCCGGAGAGTAGGGGGAACCCCTGGAACACACAGAGAGAAAAATGTGGGGAGGTTACACTTGAGCAAAATGCTTTAGCTGTGCAATGTAACTGTTTTGTTGGATACCACCAAAGGATTCTGTAGCACTTTCACTTCCAGTCCTCATGGCTGCTGGGCCCTTCTTTAGCCATGGAGATCAGAACTGTGGTGTATTGTGGCCTGGTGCTGGACTGGCTAGCCTTGGCTCATGGCATTTTTCTTTTAGGTGGAGGTCAGCACAGAAGAAGCACCAGTGAGTCTGCTGCCAGAACATTGCCAGTAGTGAGCAGTAAAGCCAGAGGGAAGGACAGACTAACAGGCAGAGCCAGAAGGTAAGGGAGCAGCTTTCAATGGGACTTCACTGCCTTTGGTGGGAGGCCTGCTCAGCCAAAATGAGCATCTCCACTCAGGCCTTATCCACACTTTGGGTTGCCATATTTCAAAAAGTAAAAACCAGGACATCCTGAAATTTGTTGAGCTTTTTTACAGAACCCCCCAAGTTGTTGAGCTTCTTTAAGGAAAACCCAATTTTTCTATTGACTTGCCTAAGATCCAGGAAAATCCACCGCCTTTCAGAAATCCCCACCCCCACCCCAGATGTCAATTCCACCTTTGAAATCTCGGTAATGTCTGGGAAGACCAAGCCATATGACAGCCTTGTTCACCCTTACCTTTTGCCCCATCCTTTCCAAGCTCAGCCCCATGCTTCAAAGCTCCGTGTCCAAGTGTTCTTTTTCCCCACCCTGGAGCATTCCCCACAAAAACTCGCTCTATAAAGCAGAAGTGCAACAAATGGCAATTGAGGTTTTCCACAAATTGCCATTTGCTCCAATTCAGTGGTTTGTTGAAAGGGAGACGTCAGTAACACAAAATGCTAATGGAGACTACTACTCCCAATTCTTAAGAGAAGTGAAGACTTCTTTACTTATTACAGTGCCATCCTAACCATGTGTATTCTGAAATAAGTGCTGTTGAATTCAGGGAGGTTTACTCTTGGAATCAAATCACATCCAACTATGTTGCACATTTCACAAAAAACCTGAAATGAACTATTTGCAGAACAGTGTTCCTAGTGTCATAATGCACAGCCCATCTTCATACCCACTGCCATCATCTCCAGCTCATCTACTGTTTCATTAGTTGCTGATCTCAAAGCTCTTGCCATCCATTCAAAAATTTGACTTTCAATGGACAAGCACTTTCCCCCCTTTAAAACTTACCAATTACAGTCCCTTTCGGGGGGTGGGGGGCAGTATCAAGAATAAACTGTTTCAAGAATAGATTGCATCACTAAGGAAAATGCACATGAATACCCAAAGGCAATGACTCCAGGAAGATAATTGCAACAGACTTCCGGTCGGTGCCAGCGCTTAATGGCGGTCCTACCTCCGAGCTCCGGAGAAGGACTGCTTCGCAAGTTCGGGTCTTACCCGCTACGGCGAGCGGGGGACCCCTAAAATCCCAGGCGCTGAAGCCTGAGAACAAGGAGACTCGGTGGGCACCTTTGCGCCCCCCGGTACCGTGAAAGAGCCTTTTTAAAGGCTACGGATCGACATCGGGAGTGAGCGCGGTGCTGAGAGTCGCTACCCAGCCTGCGAAGTGAAGCCGCGTCGCCATAAGCGGAGAGCGCCGATTCCTTCCTGAAAAGTAAATCTGGACTGAATTCCCGTGAGTAAGAGTTGGAAAACAATCGGGACCTTTTAAATCTTGCAAAATTGGGCTGAAAACGGGGAGATTTAAATCAAGGAAGTCTGCCTCCCCCCGACTGCATGAAAGTGAAAGCAACGGAACTCTAAACTTGCATCCGTTGAAACCCGCTCTTTGATCAGCTAAACCGGACATTTAGACCTTTGATCTCCCCTCTAGCTAGCAGGGCAGAGGGGAGGTGAATGAGACTATTAACTGCATGATTTATTTGAAGTAAAAAAACCTCTGCTGTCTCACCTATTGAAAGCATGAAACGGTCTGCCTTTCTGGGACACTGAACTGACTTTTCCCTGTAAAGTGATACTTTGATACAAAGTTTTCACAGTGCCTGGTTACAGTATATTATAAGAAGAAGCAGTATAAACTGGGCAACTGTGGCAACTTGAAGTTGCAAGTTGTCAGAAACATTGACTTGGTTTGTGTTAATCTTCCTTTTTTTTTACATTTTTGGATATTCTCCTTTGTCTTTGTATTTGGACATTTTGTTCTATGGCCATTTTGATTTGCTCCCTCTAGAGGATAAAGTAAAGTCCGGCACGGCCTAAGACAGTGGAATTTTCCAACGGAGAACAAATACCGTGGGAATTGACCTTGACATGAGTGGCTCACAAGAAGAGATTGTTACAAGAGCTAAGACCAAGCAACAACAACAACAACAGCTGCAGCAGCAACAGCCAAAGAAAAGAGGCTCAATTTCAGGGGTAACAGCCGGACTAGCAGGAACAACAGGACAAGATAAAGGAACAGCCGCTTCTATGGAAGCTGTGACAGATGCTCTGCTCAAGATAAACCAAACTCTGGAGTCTTTGACAAAACAGACTTCAGAGAATACACAAAAATTAACAGAAATATCAGTAAGATTAAATCAGAACACAGAATCTATAAATAAATTGGTGGAGGAAAACGCCACCACGCGCAAAATTGCTGAAGAGGCTAAAGCGACTGCTGGAGAGACACAGGAGAAACTAGAGCCGATTGCTAAGAAGGTTTATGAGCATGATGCAACTTTGGCCTTGTGGGACCTACAGAGAAAAGAGAGAAACTTGAAATTAAGACTGATTCCGGAGAATGAAAGAGACAATCTTGTGGAATATTTGACACGTGAGTTTGTGGATTGTTGGGACCTTGAGGAAGACGAATTTAAAATCACGACAGCTTTTAGATTAGGTAAAAAGCAAGACAGAAAGACCCCGAGAGATTGTTTGATCACACTCAGATCCAAGGAGGAAAGAGACAAAATATTAGGACTACACTTTGAAAAGGCCTTGCGAATTGGAAATTCAGCTGTACAGATCTTTAAAGACATCCCAAAATACATTTTGGATTTAAGAAACTTCTACAAGGATTTGGTTCTTTTGTTAAAGAAAAACTCCATTCGTTTCAGGTGGGAGTTCCCACAAGGACTGTCATTCGACTATAAGCTAAAGAAGGTGAAAATAAAGACAATTCAAGACAAGGATAAATTTCTGGCAAGAAACCAGGAGGACCTACAGAAGGGGACTGTGGACGTAATTGCAGAACAGAGGAGAGCATTGGAGATTTTGAACCTCTCGACCGGACAAAAACCACCACCATCAGAAGAAGAGCAACAACTTGGAGCTGTTGGAGGAGTTTAGAAAAATAACAAGATGGCTCTGCAATTCCTTAGTTGGAATTGTAATGGGCTTAATGGGCCTTTGAAGAGAAGACAAGTATTTCATATATTGAACAAAGAACAACTGGACCTGATATGTCTACAAGAAACTCACATAACCAGAGCCCACAGGAGACTACTCATCAACAAAAGGCTAGGACAAGAATTTATTTCATCAGATAAAGTTAAGAAAAGAGGAGTTGTAATATATGTGAAAGAGAAATGGGCCCCAAAAATGATATTCAAGGACGAACAAGGGAGATACCTGGCAGTGGAAATACAAGTACAAGGAGAAAAATTTTTAGTGGTTGGAATTTATGCACCGAATGAAGGCAAATCTGACTTCTTTAAGAGACTTCACGAAACCCTGACTGACTATTTGGATTACAATATGATAATCATGGGAGACATGAATGGCGTGGTCTCCACTAATATGGACAAGGCACAAAGACTAACAGTTAGCAAGGAAGGGAGACTCCCTAAGACTTTTTTTGAAATGACAGAAAATATGGACTTGATAGATATATGGAGAACAAGGAACCCTCTGGAGAGAGAGGGAACTTTCTTCTCCCAAGCAATGATGACCTGGACCAGAATCGATCAAATTTGGATTACTAGTGGAATGGCTCCAAAGATTAAGAAAGTGGAAATCTGTCCAAAAACTTGCTCCGACCATAACGCCCTGAAGATGGAGATGAAAATCACAATAACTGGTCAATTTAGATGGAGAATGAATGACACCCTCTTTCGAGATAAGGAGATTCTCACGAAGGCCCAAAAGACTCTAAAAGACTACTTTGAAATAAATCTGAGGACCGACGTGGAGAAAAGAGTGATCTGGGATGCAAGTAAGGCGGTAATGAGAGGATTTTTGATACAACAAAATTCAATAAAGAGGAAAAAACAGAATGAGAAAAAAGAAAAGATTTTGGAAATGATAAAGGAAGGAGAGAGAAAATTAAGAACAAAACCAAAGTCTCAGGACATCTTAAGAGAGATTAAGTTGTATCAAACACAATATATGGAATTGATGAACCAAGAGATTGAATGGAAGATAAAGCAAATGAAGCAAAAGACTTTTGAATCAGCAAATAAATGTGGCAAACTCTTGGCATGGCAACTGAAGAAAAGGCAGAAACTAAATACAGTTACAAGCCTAGAGGTGGATGGGAAAAATATATCTAAACCCAATGAAATCAGAAACTGCTTTCTAAGTTACTTCAAAAAACTTTACACTCAAGGCCCGCAAAATGAAGAAGACATAGATAAATTCCTTGGAAAATATGGATTACAAAGTATCTCTCACCAAAGTAAGATGGATTTGAGCCAGAGAATCTCAGAACAAGAGATAGAGGCTGCCATTCAGAATATGCAATTGGGCAAATCTCCAGGACCAGATGGACTGACTTCCGGATACTACAAATCGTTGAAGGAATGGTTGATTCAACCATTAAGAGAAGTTTGTAACGAGATCCTTGAGGGAAAAAAGGCACCTGAATCGTGGAAAGAAGCATATATTTCACTCATACCAAAATCAGAGACTGAAAAGACCCAACTCAAGAACTACCGCCCAATATCATTGCTTAATGTGGATTACAAAATTTTTGCAGACATTTTGGCAAAAAGATTTAAAAGAGTGTTGATGGAGAAGATTCATAGGGACCAAGCAGGCTTTCTCCCTAAAAGACACCTGGCAGACAATGTAAGGAATGTAATAGATATTCTGGAAAAGCTAGAGGTGAACATAAACACTAAAGCAGTACTGATCTTTGTGGATGCGGAGAAAGCCTTTGACAATATTTCTTGGAGCTTTATGAGGAAGAATCTTCATGGGATGGGGGTAGGCCAGGGTTTTGAGAATGGTATGGCTGCAATATATTCCGAACAAAAAGCCAAACTGATTGTAAATAATGTTGTGACTGAGGAACTTAAGATAGAAAAAGGAACACGACAGGGGTGCCCGATTTCCCCATTACTTTTTATCTCAGTTCT